CGCGAAATTCCAAAAACAAAACAAAAAACAAACAATCGACCGAAAAGTGGAATTTGAGTGTCATTTTTTATAACCCCTTCACGACGGGGAGTGTTTTTTGCAGCAGCGGGACATGAGCCATGGACTCAGACTCACAGTCTGGTCACGAACTAACCACTAGGCCACGAATGGTCCCATATTGTTTGTCCTAAAGTACAATTTAATTCCTTGACGTCTTAAAATAAAACTCACCTTCGGATTTGTCTTGGTTGGTTTGATATGCAAGAAATGAATATCAATCCCTTCTATTTGAGTTAAGAACTGATCGTATTGATTCAGTCGTTTTTCTTCTTTCCTCCAATCATAAGTATTTCTCCAATAATCAATTACTTTCTTCAGGTAATCGGAACGGAAACCGTACTGGAATTGAACGTTGTCTAAAGGGTCGGAAAGACGAGTGTTGTCCAAGCGACGATTTAAATCTCGTAGAGTCTCATTCATCACGTTGACGCGGAACGGTCTGACGGCAGGGTTATCCTTTGGAAATTTTGCGGCTGTTCGGTAAAAAATATTAATTTTATAATAAAATTTTACATAAAAAAACAACAGAATATAAAACATTTTGTCGGTTAATTGTTTGTTAGTTTTAGATATTTGAAAGCGGGACAGCTAACATTCGAAATGATAATAATAATGATGAAAAAAAAAGGTTATTCCGTATAGATAAGAAACTTAATTTACATGTAACCTTAACAGTTACCGCTTGACAACATGATGATATTTTACAAGATTTAAAAAAAAAAAAAAAGTACTCAAATATAACTAACGATCAAATAGCAATTTTCCTCGGCCCCACCACATGTCTGGCAAAACTGGAGGTTCGGGATCTGGCCAAAATATGGGTATTAATATGGCACTTAAAACTCCAAAGATCAACATAGCTGTCTTGTACCCCATCTAGAGAAAAAATCAAAATTGTATTGCCCGGTTATGTCAAAATACACAATTCATACTTTTGCACTCCCATATAATAATACACATTAATTCTTTTATACTCGATCAAAATTTGTTGCCAGTGCATTACAGAACATTTTAAATTGTGAAAACTAATATAAATGAATAAAAGTAATATGTGTATTACATCTTTTACCGAATTATTTCATACAATTTTAACATTGTTTTCACAAATACGCTGAGAAAATAAATAATATTTGTAGTATACTTATCTCTCACTAGATGGCAGAAATATAACAGTCGGTTGTCTTTTATATTTTACTCTTCAGCATTAGCAATTAATAACTTGAATAGAGGAAATTCTGGCTTTGTGAATTTGAAGTAAATTACCTAAATTAACGCAGCCAGTTAATGTGTTCCTTTGCCAGTTTTCTGGGTAGCACTGTACTTTAATACGTTAAAAGTTAAGATTATATATATTTGACTTTGAACTGATTATAAAAGCCTACATATTCCACCTCGTGCTTGTCGATGTAATTAAAAGGCTCGTTAATTATATAAAATATTCTAGAATAAACCTATCACTACTTGAATAATAATAATAACTTGATGATAAGAAATTACATCTACAGCAAGATAAACAAGAATTACAGAAAAAAATGATTAATGTTTTTTAAGGAAAAAAAATTATGTTGTAAACTTTTCCTCCTTCAGAAACGGACGAGGCATAATTCTTTTCCCTAGAGGCGGGGTGGCAAACTAACTGTTACGTATCTGCTTGTTTGATAATTTCTGGTAGAAATTCTTTCCGAGGAACTTCAGCGATACAAGTCCTTTCT